GCGTAACTCTAGTCGTTTCCCTTATTGTTTGACGTCCACGAAAATTTTAACTCGCTCACGTCAGGCCACGCCATCCTGGCTAGTACAGCCGGAAGTTTTTATCAGGATTTGGTAGGTACAAAGTGCCGGTTGTACTAGCCAGGATGGCGGGATTGATGACGAATCGCTTGTAAAAACGCGGACAAATATTTGCTCGAGTTACGCTTCTGGTATAACTTCCTATTCTGTGATCAAATCAAGAAATGTTTGCTATTTCGCTGTCGTGATACATTCGTGCCAGTCGTTATAATGCAAAATTTAAATTGGACCAATCAGTGTCTGCTATTCATGACAGTCCGCCATATTTTTGAGATCAGTGAGGATGACCACCACCACCCATCGTTGGTCACCACTGAGCTATACTATATTACTGGAGGACCTGCTCGGGAAAAAAAAGTGAAGCCAAAAACATGGCGGATCTGACGCCATTGCCATGACTACTGGTCCCTAAATTCATGGCAACTACCACTGTCCCAACCGCGATCCTAAGCTTTCGACGATGTACTTCACCCCCCTGGTTTGAGCCTAAAAAATTTGTTTTTGAGAAGAAAATCTCACTGAAAATCGTGATATTTTTCTTCCAATTTGCTTGATTTACAACGGATACTGCATTTTTACGCCGCTCGTATGTGTGAGAATTCTCCGAAGTCCACAAGAACGAGAAGAATATATTTTTATTCACCGGTAAGATTTTATACAGTTATTTGAATATTTCTAGATTCTAGCTTGCTGTGTCTGCTTGCTTTTATATTAAACTCGATAGAAAAAAATTTAAGAAATGTACGAAGCACAAACCATAGGAAAATGGTTGGGAATCCTGTAAATTTTATTGATTTTAATACCACTAGTCTCTGTGTTTTCATAGCCATAGGGTTTTAAAACCTGCTTATAGACTATAGTGTCAAAATCCTCACTGTGCACTTACTGTATATTTATTTTATAGCACTACAGGCTTTTATAGTATTATAGAGATATAAACAAATTTTCCCTGACAAGCTTTGAGTGATATATATAGCCTTGCCAGCGGTTCTTGTAGCAGTTATATATAATGACTGTATATACTGTAGTTATATTATTTATCACTTCTACAACAGGCAGGTGAAAATGAAATTGTTTTGCTGAATATGCTGGGCCAATTAAAGGCCATTAAAGATATCAAGTTCAAACCATTCAAATGATTCAATACCCATTGCAATCAAGCAATGACCATAAACCTAAGCCCCAATGACAGACCCCAAATATAAGCCCTCCTGTGTAGAATTGCACCACAAGAAATTCTGAATATAAAGCCCTCTCCCAAATTTAACCCATTAAGCGCCAGCACTCTCCCCTTGAAGAGTAAAATCGTCTGGTGTTAGACAGAGTAAAATACCAAAGTAGGGTGCATCAGGGTGCAATGCAACTCAATGGGTTAAATCCCTCTGTGTGAGCCCATAAACTTATTTTTGGACAGGTATTTTTTAATGCAGCGAAGGGGATTCCAACAGCTCAGCCCATCAAAAATGCTATTGAATGAATATAAGCATTGGGTTGTTCCAGAAAAGATCCACACTCCCCACACAGGAAATTTCAAATTGCCGATGATTGATAACATGTACATTTGAGAGCATCTTCAGTGGTGGTATATTATATCCCCAGTATTGGAGTAGAGCCCAACTGTTCAGTTAGACATTATTTACGAACTTCCTGTCTTATATCTGCATAGATTATTTTTGATATATTGTAATGTAAAATGAAACTTTGGGATAGTTAAGAAATACAATTAATCCATTTATAATGGACAAGATTGTCCCCTTAACAAGTAAAATTGCCTGGCATATTAGATGGCCTTATAAATGACATACCATATTAATTAACCATTAGGTTGCATTGTGCCCTAATGCACCCTAGCTACTTTATTATGTTACTCTGTCTAACACCAGACAATTTTACTTGTGAACTGGAGAGCCACTCAGTGCTCAATGGGTTAACATGTCAATGTCTAACTGAACTGTCTGGGCTCTGCTCTGCAGTAAATTTCCTTGTAATTGGAGTCTGGGATCTGTGACCCAATACATCTTCAGTGTCTTCATATGGTACTGTCACTATTTTATATGTATAATGGACATTTCTCATTTAGGGTGAATCTGATGTAAGTCATGTGGACAAGAAATTAATACAAGTTCTTTCGAATGTTCAAATAGCAAGAGTTAAGTGGTGCACTAGCTCTTGCCAGACTTAACTGCATGCCAGAACTAACAATTACTTTTCTCTATAATTTTGTGGGAATGTGTTATTTATATGTATGTACTACAAACAGCCAAAGAATAACCCATGAGCTCTAGTTTTAATTTTTTAATAATACTGTTAAGTATTACATGTAACTTGATTGTACAGTTAGGTTTTAATATTATTTACTGCTAATGGGTCATATTCCAGAAAACATCCATACCACCCCCACAGAGGAAATTACGTACATTTACTATTATCAGAAACAATTTTTTCTCCCCTCCCCCTCCGGACGGCAGAAATTTCCTCGGTGGGGGGAGTGTGGATCTTTTCTGGAACGTCCCAATTGGATAATTATTCTTTAACCATGCAAGTTGAATTAAAATAAATAATATACAAAATCAAGCAAATTTTTGTCTTTAATTAATTTTGAAACAATTAATACATGTTTCTTGGAGGTTCTCTAACAACAGTGGCATGAACTCATTGTGGGAGCATTCTGCAATAAGCAAGAATAGATTATAGCCATAGGGGCTATCAATATGGAAGCCAGGCTGGCCTGGTTGGCAGAACTATTTATTATTTCCAGATTAATTTCCTTGCCAACACAATTCTATTGTTTTGACAATATTTCCATGACCAATGTTGTATTGACTTTACTTTGACCAGGTCAGTCCAGTTAGTGTTTATATCCATAAAATATCTTCCTGGTGTAACTGAGAGCTTGCCTTCTTCAGGTGAGATATGAAAACTGAGCCAGTCAGGTTGTCCATACAATTTGAAAGGAATTTCCACTATAAAAATAACCACACAGTGAGTGAGATCTTGCTTACTGGCCTAGGGCTAGCTGTCACATTAGCCCCTACCTCAGGAACACCAGAAATATGCCAGCAGTTGAGTCAATTAACCCAATACTTATAGGGATGGGGCAAACAAGTTAATGCATGGCCTTTTAAAGATACATGCAACAAACTATCAGAGAGCACACAATATACATGCAAACTTGGGCAAAACATATGCATTTTCAGATCAGCTGAGCTTTTTCCAGCACCAGTTCTGAGCTCATGCATGAAAAAACCCGGTCTTGGCTAAATATATAAAACCTTACTTCCCTCTTTAATATACTAGCACATCATAGTTTCATGTCAAATATTTGTCAAATTCATATACATGCACAACCATTAATTCCTTGGGATTGAGGGATGAAATTATTATATTTTAAAGTTATAAAAAGGTTCGTCTACAACCACATAAATACTCGTGGCTTGTTTTCTAAAAAATAGAGTACATTCTACCATTTATTCCTAACATTTTTTCATGAAATATTTAAAATAGTAATGTGAATTTTGAAAAATGTATAAATACCTGTTTATAGTCTGATAAATACGGATGTTTGTTCTGGCTTGAAGTATCGTTTTTGCCCACATTTCGCAAGGTTTTAATAGTTGTTTGTTGTCTTTCACGCTCCACGGACGAGAATTAACGTGTACAGCTTCCACATCTTTGAACAAATTGTCAACAGGCGAAAAAATATGTCGAAAATATCAAAACAACAAGGATTCACTGCAAATTGCAAAAAGGCGAAATATTTTTATAAAAACCAGGGGGGGAGTGAAAACTGTGGCGGGCTCATAATTGAGCCTTGTTCAGTGGCAATTACCACGAATTTAGGGACCAGTAGTCATGGAAATGGCGTCATTTTTCATCAAAATCCGCCATTTTTTTGGCGACACTTCGTTGACTGAACGAAGTATAGGAGCAGGTCCTCCAGTTATTATACAGCTCAGTGGGATATACTGGGAGATTGTATCAAAGCTTCCCCCCAGGAGTGGGGTAATTTTCAAATATTTTAAAACTACAGCTCCCAGGGGTCGGGGAATTGCAAACCATTTAAGCTGCTGAATACTGCTGACCATTGAATCTTAAATGCAAATTAGCAGCCATTTTGAAATGTCATTGTTGCCAAATTTGTTCAACAAGACAGTTTTATTGGTAATCATTTCAATTTTTTGTCTGCAGTTCAATGGCAATAAATTAAACTGGTACTTTGCTGAATGAATATGTTTTCTAATGTTGCTGTCACTACTAAACCTTACTCCTGAAATTTAAATCTGCCCCACAAGCGTGTAAACGTACCCTCAGGCAAAGTATGCAAGATATAATCCATAACAAGTCGTCGATAGGCATGCCTCAGGGTCCCAGGGAATTTAATTTTCCACCTTTCCCTGGGTCCCGGGAAAATGTCAAACTTTGTTCCATGTAAATTTTGCATTCCCCGGGATTTGCCGAGGTTCGCCCGGGGTTACCCCCCTCAGGCAAGACGATGATAGGTGCATGATATACACGATGTTACCCTGCGAGCAAAGTCCTCTCGTATTTCTTTGCTCGCAGGGTATACCAAACGATGTTTAAGTGTTACAAAATACTGTTACTTTTATTGCAATTATTAATCAATTGATGTACAGTAGATCTTTTACAGTAGGGTTGGGGTTAGTTTTCAGGGTTGTGGTTCCGTTTAATTGTTTAGTGTTAGCTTTTAAAGCGTTGTCGGATTAATAGCTGTGAAGCAGGAATGTCCGGTGTCGGATGAATATCCACGGCGTATATTGTATATATATTAATTATATATATATTATTTTGTGTCAATTGTTCACTTGGTAATATGATAAGGAGAAAATGTTCTGGAGTGAGATATACATATCATTATCGTATAAATTTCCAGACAATGCGCGAGCAGAAAACTTTGCCTGCCACGGCTGGGTATCGTCCGTATCGAAACCATGACCTTCAAGTTACTAGATGTTCTACCAACTGAGCTACATGGTCAGGATGGATCGAAGACTGGAAATTATGAACTACATACTGAATGTCATAAACATACTTGTTTATATTAATCAGAGTTTTCAATTTTGTGTGAGGCTCTGGCTAATGGTGATGAAGCTACGGCGATAGATATTATTTCTACCGATAGAATTTACAAATTTGGGCGAGTACACATAATAGAGACGTGACTAAACGTAAAAGCTCTGGCGAATTTGGGTGGGGTTGAATGAAAAAGTCTGGCGAAATTCGCCGTTCGCCGGCCTAAACTGAAAACCCTGATTAATTCAGCTGAATTAATGTAGAATAAAATCACCTTTGTGTATTCAGGGCCATTCATTTAATATCCATACCCCCCTGTTGACCAGATTTTCCGAAGGGGGTCTGAAATTCTGAATTTCTGAAGGAGTGCCAAGTTGAAATTTCTGAGGGGGGTTGTAAAAGGACAATTTCTGAAGGGGTCAAAATTTTTCTTTAATTTTCCAAGGGGTCAATTTTTTTTTAAATTTCGGGGGGGCAGGAGGAAGGTACTACCTGTTGACGAAAATTTCCGAGGGGTGGGCAATAAATTTTTGAGGGGGTCAATCGTAATGGAACCACGTCAACAGGTATTTCCGAGGGGCTTGAGAAAAATCGTAAATTTCCGAGGGGTTTCTAAAAAAAAGCGTATCTCCGAGGGGGTCTCCTGAAAACTGTTTCCGATGGGGTCTAAAATCAGTAACCTAGTGAACAGGGGGGATGGATTTTAAATGGAATGGCCCTCAGTAGGGGTGCACCTGAACCAATTTTTTTAAGTTCCGGATGGAACCAGAACTGATTCATTCATTCACTCATTATGTGATATACCGTATGATTAAATGTGGCCATATGTTACGTTGTCTGTTGCCAGACAGTCATACACTTTCAGTCATCAAGGAGAGAGCTCGCAAATGTTAGAATAAAAAGATTGAATAATGTTAAATGTCATAATGAAGTGTTAGACGTGTACATTTTTCTTGTGTATATAGTCCAAATTTCTTCCTCATGCTATTCAATAAATAAACTTGATAATTGATATTCTATCTCTCTGAAAACGGCAACATTCTGGTTTCGGCCAATTTTTTTTATTAGTTCCGGCCAGTACCAGAACAATGAAGAATTGGGGTTCTGGCCATGCATAACCGAGTTCTGGTGCACCCCTAGTATATTGTGTGATCTCTTGAGTCCAATGAAATGTGATAGTATAATCTAGCCTTTATGTGCTTATAGGACGGGTGAGTGTCAAGGCAGCAAGCAGGAAAGGCTGCAAGATTACTGGAAAACTAGATCGACGAAATCAGGTAAATATAAAATAAGTGCATATAAACATTGAGGTGACTAGTTATGTAGCCTGTATCCTGCTATATGCTGTTTACAGATGCCATCTTGGCAAGTGGGCAAACACAATGATAAATAAAACATTGCCTTGTTCCAATTAGAATACTTGTCCCTTAACTGATCCATGGCCAGGCGTTCTACGGCCAAAATGACAAATTCCGTGGCCAAAACGAGAAATTCTGTGGACAAAATTCAGATGTTTCTCAGTAGGAAAAATATCAATATGTACCGCTATAAACAGTAATTGTTGGGTCATTTCAATTACGATAATAAGAGATATATTAGAAAGTCGAATAAAATTTCTTGTTTCGCAAGAATCTGACATATTTAATATACAGTGAGTCCCAACATAAACAAAACAGCAGACCGTACGTCATCAACATGAAAACTGTAATTATACTCGTTTGAGCGCCGTCCCCAAATAAGCGCCATACTCATTTTCAATCTGCAGCTTAATCGAAGTACTGTGTGACAGCAAGTTCCAGAAGCTGAAATAGAAACAACCACAGTGCGTGGGTTTTTGCCAACGTTTTGCCGCTGCCAATGTTTTTAAAATGTATTTATCCACGGTCATGGAAAACTGAATTGTCATCAAACATTATCGAACTTTTTTCACGAACCAAAGCCAAGGTACAGATCGTAGATGACATTGTGTGAACAGGAAGTGCAGTAACAGGAATATTACTAGAAGTTCAAAAATTAAAATGCTAATAAATGTTAGTGGCTAGTGAAATGATGAATATCAATGAAAGGCCTTCCACTTTGAAGGAAACTCGGTTCGTAAGGCTTTAAATTTTACAAAAACGTCTTACGTCTTGTAGCAGATCACACAAGTGTATATTTTTGTGAATTTGAGAGAAAAATAAAAAAAGTTACTTTACCAAAGTTTAAATTCCGCGATATAAACTGAATTTCGCAGAATTCCGCGGTTTAAATTAAATTCCGCTGATTTCCGCAATTGTTTGAGATTCCGCGAAATCGCGGCATAGCGGAATTCCAGAATGCCTGCATGGCAGTGGTGGACAACTGGGAAGGATGGAATTATGAACTTAAGAATTATGTTAAATGTTGTTTGTGGTAGTGCTTGTTCCACTTGGGAAGATGGAGTCACTAACCGCCAAAAGTGTATTAATTTAATAATAAACTGCGTGTAATATATAGTGACCATAGTTAAAGTTTTATAAACTAAACTACATGGACCAAAAAGACTAATAAAAACTTTGACAGAGAAATCAACCTTAATTATAGAGAAATGGCAATATATTTTTTTATTTTCCCATTTGAAAGAACAATTAAAACTATCCAGTAACTTCTTTTACCGATTTTTCATACCCCGCTTAGTTCTTGAAATATTTTCACTTGAAGTGATGAGATGTCGGCCATCTTGGATAATTTTTTTATCTCATTAACGGTAGTTTTGGTGACGTCACAACAGGGATTAACCATATCAAAGTATTCGTTGCTGACCAAATATTGATTGGTAGATGTTTTAAAGGTTTCAAGTGATCTTGATATTTCCAAGCGCATACAGAGTATAATTTTGAGTGCAAAATGATTAGTGGTTGTCTAGATAAAAATATTGCGTGACCCCTGTTGTGACGTAACATGCATATCTACAAAAATCCAAGATGGCGGACATTTCATTTCTTTCGATTAAAATATTTGTAGAAGTAAGCAAGATATGAAAAAACGGTAAAAGGTTTTATATATGGTTTTAAATGTTCTTTCAAACGAGAAAATAAAAAATATATTGCCACTTCCCTTTAAATATATAATATGTGGTATATTTGACTACTTACCAGATGAGGATAAGATTCCATGTTGATAAATAACTTCGGAATAATATCGCAAAAGACAGCCAATTCAAGATAAATTGATAAAAACATCAAGATATTTTTGAAATAACATAAACACGATTTATACACGAGGCCTGACAAGGCTAAAGTATGCCCGTTCGCAGGTTAGATCAGCGGGCACGATGTAAACAATTGATGTAAACGAATCGCTGATTGGCTTAAATTGGCATAAAATGGTTTAAAATATATAAGCTCGTCGCTGAATGGCTATCTGTTAACATACGGTACGGTCACGTTTGCGATAGCATATATATCTGCTTCGCAGATACAAAAATGCATACTATCCTAAGATTGAATATCTATTGATTATTTTCTAGTGTTGTTAAAGTTAACCCTGGTCATATTAATGAGCAAACCTGAAAATTTCTAAGTATCACGATTTTTCAGTCAATCTCACGACTTTTTAGATAGCAACTCACTATTTCTGCTACTCAAGGGTTAGCAGGTCTGTACTTATCTAGATCTGGTATTGATCACTCTTTGTGTTTCATAAATTCATAAACTAGTCCCATGAGGGGAAGGCCCTGAGTCAAACTAGTGCATCCATTGTAAACATTATTAAATCATTACTGTTAAAATATTTATCATTGCGAAAATTATGGACTGGTCCTGCCTTGCTGAATTTAATTTAACCGTTTGAGTGGCAATGCGCCCTGATGCGCCCTACTCTGGTATTTTACTCCGTCTTATGCCAGATGATTTTACTCTCGAAGTGGAGAGTCCTGCCACTCAATGAGTTAATTAATCATTTTTGCAATGATGTCAATGATAAACAGTTTAACAGTAATAATTAATTTAATGTTTACAATATAAACATTCGAAAACCGTTGGAGGTACAGTACCTACCCAGCCTGCGTGGCAGGCCCTCAAAATTTATGGTGGGCCTGATTTGCAGCGGGCAGGATTTTGGCGGGCTTCGGGGGAGGATTAAGGGCCTGCAGGAAAGCCCGTCTTTCATAGCTACACGCCGTTCAGATTCTGAACTGTGAATACGATCACCTGATTAGCCCGCGTGCAGGCCCAAGGGAACTGATAGTGGGCCTGCAAGCAAGGCCAGGTATTTTGTAAAACGCCCCTTTTCATAACACGCCCCATTCGCGCGTCAAATGTCAAAAAAGAACCAATGACAGCACCCAAATATTAACAAACAAACTCGCATTAAAATGTTGCGGGGTTTTCTCTGCATATTGAGAACATAAGCAATGTGTAAATGGCTGCGTTTTAACTCCCAAAAAGCAAGCAACGCAGTCAGTAATTGCCAAATTTGCAAGTGCTCATTTTCAACTAAAATCGGAACAGGCAAATTAGGACGAATTTCAACAGAAA